TGAATGCCAATATTCATATTTACAACTTCTTTAACTTAAATGTATGATTCCTGTAATACGTCATCATTGCTACCCTAACGAATAATTATAACTTCTCAAACTTTAATTGTTATTATGACTTTAATGTAAGGCATTAAAATTTGTAAATAACCCACGTAATTCTGAGCCAGAAGTCTGTGATCATATCACCTATACATTGCAGGCAGTCATCCCTCATGCATCGGGCGGGGAATGAGGTCACATCACGTGATGAGTGACAAAGACTGCATCGGGATGGGTCAAACAAGCACAGGACTTAACCCTATGAGCCCGAACGACGCATAGTGCGTCCAAATTCACACCTGTTCTTCTCTATGGATTTTCTCTGCAACCGTTCGTCATAGCGAGAAGCCACGCGTATCACGTCAAACAGCGGAATCGTAGCTTTCTGACAAGGCGAAAAAAAAAGAGATAAAATTACACTAAAATGATGTATAACAGAGCTTTCATACAGCTTTGTACACACATTACTGTTGGATGGATTACCCACAAATGCAGGCTGAGCTTTCCAGCGATACCACACACATCATTGTGCTGTCATCCCATCACGCTATAAATACAGATCAAGTGTCTACAAAATAAAAACCTGATGAATTTCTTTACAATCCATTATACAGATCTTGTTATCAGTCACTTCATACAGTCAGGAATATCGTATCTTACCACGTCTTAGGCTTGCGTGTGTTTCTCTGTCTATCCACATTTGTAGTCCAGCTTTCAAGATGCAAACATCTCCATATTGTCCAGTCGACACTCCATCAAACTTTGCATGACAAGACAAGCGCACTTCACCTTTGCGCACTCAGACAACTGAGGCCTAATTATGCATGCCTGACAGGGCCGTAGTCACCATATACATTGAGGGGGACACATGCCCCCCCCCACCTATGCCCAAAATGTCCCCCCAATATATAACTGAAACTGAAAAACAAATATTATCTTGGAGGACATCATTGCACTTGGTTGACTATTTTTCTATTATCTTAGATGTAAATATTGCAAATATTGTTTCTTTCAGATAAAACACATTTTTGACTTGTGAATGAGTCAGTGGAATTTCTTGCAATAATGAAAAAATACTGGCAATCATGTCCGCCTGGCACAAACCACATGTTTTGGACAACTGTGAAGTGACAGAATGTCCCACCATCATGGAGATTCCAGAGAGTCTCCCATCTTCATATATGGCAGAATATGTCTTTTTCCAACTTGCTATGGTGAGATACATGCCAGAATGTAAGAATTTAGTCACACGGATTTGTTTTTTTCATTGATATAAAAATTAATATAAAATACAGGCACATAGAAGGACATGTGGTGATGGCAAATCTGGTTAGCCCAGATTGTCCTGAAGAAAAAAAAAAGATATAGCATGTGTATGTAGGCTTTATAATGACTGTGATATGAGCTTAAAAGTAAAGGCAGTAAAAAATACCCCAAAAAGGCCTAGGGCCCATAGGGTTAAACCCAAGAGACTGGTGTTTGTGTCCTATGTGAAACGTCAGCGGTGAGGTGTTTGAAATTATGTAATGTCACGCAACATCACATCTCGACCCATCTCATCACATCATGTAGTCAAGCCAAGACACCCTACCATGACTCTCACTAAATCCAACCTAACCAGTGGGGACGCAGCTATGTAAGATATCACACATACCGTTGTATAAGGTTATCTTGCTTTAGTAACTTGCAGTGACATTAACTTGTAGTAATGACTTCTTTATGTAAAAATAATAACTTTATTCAGGTTGTTCTCATAAACTCATAAACTTTGTACATATCCCACGTAATGATGAGCCAGTAATATGTGCATAACCCACACATTTTGGAAGGCTGCCATCACCTGACCAGTGCGCTGATGGGAGTAAACAAACAAGCAGTCCTGTGGCAGGCTGGTTGGTGGTGGATGTGTCACCAAACACACAATGTTCCCTTGGGAGACGGGTGTTCAGAACCATGTGAACACTGAGTGAACCTTGAGTTAATGTACATCTTCACCATGTTTCTTTTCCTAAACCTAACCACAATAACTTTACTTGCCAAAACCTAACCTCTGTAATTTTATGCTGATTACATCATTAGTGGGGCGCTAATTCCTACAATATCATACAAATTGTTATGTGTGCATTTTTGTAAGATATGATACGAACCATTCTATGAGGATACATTGCTTTGTTTACACCGAATCATGAACTCCATAACTCAAAATTATGACTTCAAGGGTCCATATAATTACAACTTCAATATCTTGTAATTGTGACTTCAGTAACTTGCAGTGACACATGCTAGCTTGTAATCATAACTTAATTAATGCTCAATTATGACTTCAATAATATTACTGTGACCCCCATAACTAATAATTATGTTCTGTAATAAATGTCAAACCTATGACAGTGATTCACTTTATATGCTTTTGAATAGCTTTTATTTGGAGGAATTGTGGAAATACATTGTTCGAATAACCTAAGACATTCTAAAAACTGAAATTTCATCAGACTCTAGGGTCTGGATCTTGGGACACATACAAGGACTTAATGTGAACAGTAATAAGAAACAATTATCTATTACTACAGCTGCAATAAAGTATATTCTAAAAAAGTCGAAATGTGAACTTCATCCTTTGCAGAGGCAAGGGTTATAAGAATAAACATTGTATAGTATACCTAAATAGATCTTGTACAGAGTGAGCAGGAAACCAGCAACAACTGGAAAAATATAGGCCTCTTTTCTGGCCCTATTACATTCATTACAGCCCCTTGGCTAGTGATTGAGTATGGAAACTTGTCCTCCTGTACTCCTTTTCTTTATTTAACATTGCAATACACACAGATCAGCCAAAACATTAAAACCACTGGCAGTTGACGTGAATAACATTGATTCAACACTGATCATTTTGTCACAATGCAATGTTCTGCTGAGAAACTTCCATGTGGATGCCACTTGACATGCTCCAACCATACAGGCACCGTTGCAGACCCGTCCCATCCCTAGCCCACCCCTACTCCCAGTAGAACAATGCACCATGACACACCATAAAAACTATTTAGGAATGGTTCAAGGAACATGACAAAGAGCTCAAGGTGTCCACATGACCTCCAAATTCCTCAGATCCCAATCTGATCAAGCATCTGTAGGATGTGCAGGTACCCCACCTCATGACCAACTGGATTCAAGGGATCCGCCGCCAACACCCTGGTGCCAGACACCACAGGACACCCCTCAGAAGTATTGTGTCCACGCTTCAACAGGTCAAAGCCAAATCCCATCCAAGGAGGCCCCACAGTGAATCAGGGATACCTCTGGCATACCGGTACATCCCACAAATGCTCAAACAAATTGGGATATGGGGAATCTGGAGGACAAGTGAACACCTTGAGCTCTTTGTCACGTTCCTTGGGTCATTCCTAAGCAGTTTGTATGTTGTGTTTTGGTACACTGTCCAGGTGGGAGAACCACAGCCATCAGGGAGTGCCGTTGCCAAGAGAGAGGGGGACTTGGTTTGTGACAGTGTTTGGGTGGGTGAAGCGTGCCAGGTGGCGTCCACATAAATGCCAGGACCAAAGGTTTCCCAGCAGAACATCGCATTATAACGAAATGATAAATGTTGTTCACTTCACCTGCCAATGGTTTTAATGCTTTGGCTGATCTGTGTAGACTTAATTACACAGAAATTAACATAGCCTACATAAGGAGCTCACACCTTACTTGATGGGATTTTTTTTTTTTTCTCTATGTTTTCTATTGTGAACAAGGTTGAATTTTCTACCATAGCAGGTCTGTGAGTGGGGGGTGGTAGGTTTTTTTCTTTCTCATGTGTATTTGTTTATGGAAATAAAGGCTAGTTTGCTTCAATAAAAAACATCTTTAAAGAAAATTATCCTCCATTATGAGATCTGTAATCTTATAATTTCTCGAATCATTAGATGATAAATCATGATTATGAGATACATATGTCACAATTAAACACAGCCCACCAGGTATCAAGATTTGTTTTTCAATTTGAGCTAATGCACTACTAATTCATGCTTCTTTTCATCCAAAGAAATGACTGTAATTAATTTATTTGGGCAATGAAATGAGTAATGTGCGCTATTAGATTTATTTATTTGTTTCCAGTATTGACAGCTACTGGGCTATTCATCATTAGAGGAAATGTGCCAAATATATGTCCTTTGCTAAATGCAATTTCTTTCAGTAGGTTTCAGCTTTAAAATAACAAGCTAGATTGCTCTCATAACTGTTTGATTGCTCATGTACATTGCAATTTATTCATTATAATTCAATAGCAACATTTCACAGCTACCTCTGATGTGTCGACTGACATGAGCTTTTGTCAATGAAAAGGTTCCAGTCCCTTATCTCTGCTGTGATTAAACTGCTACACTTTATTACTGTAGTGGCATATTTAATATTGTAAACTGTCTTTTACTGTCAGAACAAAGAACTATCTGAACCTGCAGCACGTAGCAGGTAATTCATCATTTGCACAGAGTTATGGATATTCAGTTAGCAGCAGCCACGGTGGCTGAATGTTTCTATCTGTATGGTGATGAGCCAGAGATTGTAAAAACTAACACTGAGGCTGATTCCAGGCTGTCAGACACTAATCTGCTCTTTGTCACGCAGAATCAAACTGAACTGACTTTAGACTTCAGATTAACCCAGATTTTGTGTATAATCTGAATTTCAAACTATTATGTAAACAGGAATTATTCATTTACAACACTCACTACTGCGACACAATGCGAGAAAAAGACTGAAAGAAAACACTGACCACAGAAAATTGCAAATCAAGTGATGTCACAGCAAATACAGTGAGGTCAGAGGGGAGAACATGTCATGACAGGAATGAAGACAACAGGTGATGGTAGCAGGTTGTTTTTATCAATAAGAAGCCAGAGGGACATCACGTGTCGTGTGTGTGTGTGTGTGTGTGTGTGTGTGTGTGTGTGTGTTCCTACCTGGCTCTCGGAGCAGCAGCTGAGCCATCGCCTGCGAGCTGCCAGCTGAGTTTTCAGCTACACACTGATAAAATCCTTCATCCGACTTCACCAAACCCAAAATCTGCAGGTTACTGCCGTCCTGTTTAACACACACACACACACACACACACACACACACAGAACATGTCAATAAAAGCTTTCACAGATACAACAAAGTCTGGTTTAGACAGGTTAGACTTTGTTAACATAAAACAAAACCATCGCAAAGAAGTGTAAGACTGTGAGGGAATGTGTGTGTGTGTGTGTGTGTGTGTGTGTGTGTATGTGTGTGTGTGTTTTATCTCTTTATAGTATTAGATTATGGGATAACAGATTATGATATCCAGATTATCAGATTATGTCATGATGTCAGATTAAGAAACATGTCATACTCACTACTCTGCTACTCTCACTTTCTCTTCTTAACACAAAAACTGTTTTCACTCAGTATTTAATTCACTAAATTCCACCTGATTTCTGCTTTTCCATCTCTTGTTAAAGGACTGTCAATTAAATAAATACTGTCTGTAGGTGTTTCACATTTAAAGTTTCTGGCTGTGGACCTAATTGATGGCTTGTCCTCTGTAATTAGTACACTGTACCACATTTTCGCATCGCATTGCTAAGAAACAACTATTAGACTGGCCTTTAATTGAGTTTTATTAACTGTCTATTTATTAATGTAAATAGAGTTATTAGAGTTAGAGTTATTCTATTTAACTTTCTGGTATACCGAAAAACTTCAATTAAAAGCCTAGTCCCAGTTAAACCTCCAGTTCCTTTCACTAGCCTGGTGTGGCTACACATTTTTACAAATAAACAGCTGTCTCAATTAGACACCTGGTCTGGTTGCCAGTTCATTTTATAGAAGTTCTTTGGATGTATAAAACAAGTTGTTGGCTACCCACTTGACCTAACATAGGTTAGCTGCTTCAAACGCACATAAAAATGTAAATGTTTAAACTTTTGTCAACATGGAGATGATACACATTGTTAGCTCAGTTAGATTCTCCATAATTCAATTGTTCAGTTCATTTTACTGAAACTAAAGTATGAGCACCAAAGAAGACAGAAATTCATTGAGATTTACCAACATGGTAAACAAGAGGGACGCAAAAAATTGGTGACTCCCGAGCTCGGAAGTGGTCATGTAGTCCTCAATTACCCAGGAAGGTATTCATATTCCTTCATATTCCATCAAGAGAATCAGAAGGTTTTTCATAAGAATTCATTCAAGTTGTGAGTATTGCTATAACAGGATAAAGTGGTGTTGTGTTGCTTTGCCAGCTGCTGTAACCCTTGGATGTTGTAAAACGAGTGTCATAACTCTTTCTTTCTCTGATGCGCTGTCCCTGGGAGCTAGATCAAATGTATGATTCATAACAGAAATGTTATTTGAATCCTATTTTTTAAGCAAGTAATATTCATACTAGTTTAAATAAACAATTTGATTGGATTTCCCAATCTTTGCTCGGCAACAGGAAATTAAAAGTCTATCCCAAATATAGGCTTGTTGAGTTCAGTTATATAAACAAATAATAGCCTGGGCTATTAATTGAAGTTTTATGCTATGTTGGTATTTAAGAAATTAGAGTTTTTCTTCTATTCCTAATCTGGCCACTGGTGTTTCCTCACTGGAAATTATATTGAGTGTTAATATTGAGTCAGTTATCAGAGGAGGCCTACAGCTGCAGTTTGTGTGTGTGCACACACACACACACACACACACACACACACGCACACACACACACACACACACACAATGCTGG